TTTATTTTGAATGGGGACTCAGGGCCCAAAGAAGGAACTGGACTTGCCCAAGGATGCAGCACGAGGCACTGGCAGAGCCAGGAGTGGGATCCAGTCCAGCATGTGACTGCCACTTCACCTTCCTTAGCTGCCAACCTTCCCAAAACTGAAGGCAGAGGAGTGGACTTCTTGCTTTCTGGCCTGGTGGGGAGTGTTTGGCCCGGTAGCAAGCTGACTTAATTACCCAGAGCGTGAGGTGCCACTTTGACCTAATACATCCAGCCTCCCTTCTCTGCCTCTTCTTGGAGCTGGGCCAGGTGCCACCCACCCACCCAAACACATCCCGACCCAAGAGCGAGCAGATCCAGCTGCAAAGTGAAGCCCAAGGCCCTCAGGACTCTCAGCATCAATTGGCTTGAGAGCACTGTTTCTAGCTGGTCTCTTGGATTCCCAGCTCCCACCCAAGACTTCGCTTCATGTCTCTCCTGACCCTTCTGAGGTAGCACGCAGGCTGGCGCCGACCTGTTCTAGGACTCCTTAGAGAGGAGTCAGGCAGACAGGGTCCAGCTGAGATGAGGAGAAGCGGAGGCAAACCAAGGAGAGGCAAGGAACCCCACTTAGCATCCTCGGCCAAAATCTGGGCCTCCCAGAATCTCAGCAAAAAGCCACAGGCAATGAACCATGCCGCTTCAAGAAAACTGGAAACGGTGCAGCTGGGCAGTGGTGCTCGGGAGTCTGTGGTTGAGGACTGAAAATAGCTCAGCCGGTCACCCACAGACAGTTCAGTTCTCTGCCCAAAAGCATTTCTCTGAGGGCCTATATCCCTCCTCCTTTAAGAAAAATGTAGCCAAGTAGTGGCGAAGCAACCAGGGAAGCCCCAGTGATCCTGTCCCCACCAGCAGATCCGACCCAACCCTATGTACTTGGCAGGAATGGCGGGGGTCCTGGGAGCTACCATCCATCTCCCTGTACTGGCTTCTGTAGGGCTCCAAGAGGCTCTTCGAACGGCTCCTGCCAGCACCACACTTAGTCTACAGTGGACAACGCAGTGACAGGGTCTTCAAATCCCCACCGGCCACCCTTGCTCTTTCTAGAAGGGAGAGTTCCTGACTCCCACCTGTTTATTCCCGTGGCAGGTTTTAGAATCAGTATGTGAAACTCTAAGAACACGTTCTCTTGGGGTTTTGTGATGGTTTTCAATCTTGCATTTAATTGGAGCAGAAAGTGGACATAACCAGATTGACCTGCTGGAGGAGCAGGGCCAACTCCATTTCCCCTAGTTTCCCGATTTTCAGGCCACGTGCTGGAGGCCATGTGAGCTGGAGCCAAGCAGCTCCTTCCTCCAGGGAGTGGAAGAGGCTGAGGCCCAGCCTCAGGCCCGTGCTCTCTCCCCAGTGCCCTGGTGCTGCTGATTGCTCAAGAGAAGGAAAGGAACGTGTTTGACCAGCGTGCCGTGGAGAACGAGCTTCTGGCCAAGTAAGGGAGGGAGGGGTGGCCCCAGGGGTAACCCTAGGCTTGGGTAAGGGCATTCAGAACAAACAAAACTGCCACTGTCCCCTGCCAACTCGTCCTAGGAGCATTCACGTAATCCGGCGAAGCTTCAAAGATGTCGCTGAGAGGGGCTCTCTGGACCAAGACCGAAGACTGTTTATGTAAGTGGTCAGGGAACATTCCCTCTTCCTGCCTGCTACCCTCTTCCTCAAATGGTTCTATCCACTGGGAGATGTGATAACTTGTTTTCTTCTCTCAGGATGGCAGGTCTGAGTTCGGAAATAGTCTGCCCCGGAAATGCTGGAGCAGGCCAGCCAAGGCCAGCTTCTGAGGGGCTGCATCGATGAGCTATGGGCATCTGGATAAGGGCATTCTTACCAGTAACCTTGGTTTTTATGTGTGCCCAGGCTGCCAAAGTTTGATTGACCTTCTTGGTCAAGTCCAGCCTGAGCTGTTGAGCTGGGCAGTCAGGAAGGAAGAGGGGCAGTCGGCTCATTTGGTGATTGATCTAGGTGTCACACTCGGAGGTCAGGCAAGACTCATGGGGCCCTAGTTGGTGTTCGAGTCTTGGCTCTCCCCGCCTCTCCCCTCCAGGGACCACAAGGTGGCCTTGAGGCCACGGCTTCTGGTCGTATTGCCCTGTGAACTACCTGCACGCAGTCCCACAATCTCACTTGCTATGTTTAAGCAGTGTTTTTATCCTATCCAAACAAGCTGGTTATTTTCTTTTCCAGTTCCAATAGATAAATCAGGCTCAGTCAAAAGAAAAGGGGAAGAAGTTTAAAAAAATAGTCCGTGTCTTAATTTAAAAACCGAACTCACTGCCCTCGAGTTGATGCCGACTCGTAGTGACCCTACAGGACAGGGTTGAACTGCCCCTGGGAGCTCCCGAGACTGTAACTCTTTATGGGAATAGAAAATTCCATCTTTCTCCCTTGCAGCAGCTGGTGGTTTCAAACTGCTCTCTTACTTAGGCACTCATCATTTGGAATCACCTTTCCCGCTTGTTTTTGCTAAATATGGCAGTATTTTTCTGATGTTCAGTAATTATCCCACTGTTTGAATGTAAGGGACACTGGTAGTGCTGTCAGGTAAATGCTGAACTGCTAACCGTAAGGGGGGTGGTTCAAACTCACCTACCACTCTGCAGGAGACAGATGAGGCTCTTGCTCCTGTAAGGCTTTGCAGCCTGAGAAACCCCAAAAAAGGGTCATTATGAAGCAGAATCAACTTGATGGCAGTGGAGTTTGTATGTGTGTGTGTGTAGGAAGGGTGGGGGGCTAAATTTACCTACTTCAATTCCGATTACCAGCTGGTTGCCCTTCTGGAATGCCTTCTAAAGGTCTCATTGACCTTCCTAGAATACCTTGAGATCTTCACAATTCAAAAGCAGCTTTCTTCAGCAGTCTTGACACCCCTTCCTGCACACCTCCATGGGGCAGTTACCTACTTCTACTGATTCCAACGACCTCCTGTCCCTACTCCCATTCTGGACTGACTTTCAAAGGGGCCGAGGTTATTCGGATGCACCCAGGAGCTGACTGAACCACCGAACACTTCCGTGATAGTTTGATACAGCTGTTTCCATTGTGTATTCCAGGGATGGCCAGGAAGTTGCTGTGGTGTACTTCCGAGATGGCTACATGCCGAGTCAGTATAGTCCACAGGTTGGTATTTTGTTTGACCAGTCATGTGTGTGTGTGTGTGTGTCTGTGTGCGCGCGCGCGCGCGCACGTGCACGCGCATGTATGTAGAGAGAGAGAGATTGATTTGAGTTGGTTTACATTTCAGACCATTTTTCCCCCAGCAACTTAAACAACTTATCAAACCTCCCAATAGCTTGCCCTGCCTCTCCCCACTTCCCCCTCTTCTCTCTCTTCCCCTTCTCCCAAGTTAACATCTGTCTACCTCTAACCCATTACTTGCCCTTCTGTTTCCCTCTTACCCCTGGTAACCCTCAAAGGCTTTCTTTTGCTATGAAAACCTTTATCTTGATGTTTTTCCTTTGTAACCACAGTCTTGCACATTTGCCCCTTTGTGATCGACTAACTTCACCCAGCATCATGTTCTCCAAATCCATCCGTGTCCTGAAGTGTCTCAGTTTCATCATCAATCTTAAGCGATACGTAGCGCTGCCTTGTGTGGACATACCAAAGTTTAGTTGTGCATTGGCCCCCGATGAGCATGTAGGCTGTCTTCCAACTTCTTGCTGTTGTGAACAGAGCTGCAGTGAACATGACTTTGTTTCTCTAGGCTCCCTACCAAGTAGCACACTTGCTGGGTGGTATAGTATTTCTATTCCCAGCTGTTCGCAGAAGCACAGTGGCCGTACAGTTTACAGTGCCCCCAGCAGTACTGGAGAGCTCCACTCTCTCCGCATCCTGCAGGCATTGGTTGGTTCCTGTTTTATCCTTTCTGAACTCTGCTGTCAATGCTGGTAAGCGGCGGTATCTCATCAGTCTTGTGATTTGCATCTCTCGAATGGCTAGTGAACATTAGACCATTCTTTTGCCCTCTGGGATGTGCCAGCGCGCTAGAGAGACCCAACTCAGGCGTCACAACAACCTGGGATTCTCCCTGGGCCCTGGCTTCAGTTTCCCTTCAGGGAACTTGTTGCTCAAACGTCCTGTTGTCTTGCACGTTTTTTTCCTACCTCTCACTCTCCACAAACAACACTGTCTTTCAGAATCTTGACTCCTCAGGAATCCAAGGGACTCAGGCCGCTCACACTCTTTCCAGTGGTAGGGTGCTGAATGCTACTGTCTGTCCCTCTGAGGGGGAACAGCCCCCGTGGGGAGCACTTGTGGATTTTTATGATGGAAATACTCCCACTGTGGTCAATCTCAAGTGCCCCCAATTATCATCCCCGAGCAGAGTTGGGAAGAGATGCCAACTATAGCACACCACTGGCCATTTTCTTCCCCTCCATGCTTGCTGATCCTTTATCTGTGGCAGAAAGTTGTTTTTTGTTTTGTTTTTTTAACCATCTAGCTCATTCACGATAAGGACATTAATGATTATAGCACTTTAGCTTACTACCCTACCAGGTAGTTTCAAGTTACTCTCCACATCCATAATTTCATGTATTCCTTATCATCACTCCCTGAGGTCTACAATGATCTCCATTATACAGATGGCAACACTAAAGTTTGGAGAGATGCCAGGTCCCACAGGGAGTTGCCAGGCTCTCTGACCCTTAGTCCAGTGGCTTCCCCAGCACACCATTCTCCCCAAATGTCCCACCATGCCCACAACGTCCTGTTCTCTGTTAGTGGAAGGTCAAGGAAGAAATTAATTGGAAAGTTTTAGGAGTCGGAGGCTGGGGGTCATGAAACTCCGTCTCTGTGATCAGAGTCCTCTCTGGAACTCAGCTTCACCAGCTTAGCTAAGGGAATGACATTTTACAAAATGAGGGAATACACTTCGTTCAATCTAGAATTCTCCCTAAAGCTTCGCTCGATGAGGTACCGAAATCTTGAGCAGTGGTGTGAACGCGCTGACTGGAGCAGAGAGAAGTTGTCCAGTGGGGAAACGAGCTCCAGGTCCTAGGTCAGTGGGGCTGGAGGCAAGAGGCCAAAGGAAAGTTACCAAGAGAAACAAGGTGGTGCTGACAAGAAGAGAAGGTTTGCAACCTGACTGAAACCAAACTCACTGCCGTCAAGTCGACTCTGACTCAGAGCGACCTTCTAGGAAGGTAGAACTGTGAGTTCCCAAGACAGTAGCTCTTTATGGGAGTAGAAAGCCCCATCTTTCTACTGTGGAATGACTGGTTTTGAACTGTGACCTGGTGTAGCCACTGCACCACCGGGGCTCCTCAGGTTGGGAACAAGGGGGTCAGGTTTGCAAGACTTGACCATGAGTAAGTCCCTAATCCCGTCTGGGTTTTGCTTTCTCTCTCTTTCACAATGGGGTGTTCTCTGGGTTCCTTTCTGATGTCCCGGCAGGGACACTTCCTGGAACACCAGTCCAGTTGTCAGGTGGCTGAGCTATAACTGGAAATCAGGCAAAGGGGCACCAAGTGTATCAAAGGCAGGCCAGCATGGGGATCGAGCTTTGCTCCTTCGGCTGCAGCCTAGATCCTACTGGGGGTAGAAGGCAAGTATAGACCATTCCCATAGTGCCTGAGGAGGAGGACCAGAGCTGTGAGATGTGATCCCCTGCTGCGCCCTGCTTCACACACACCTGAATTCTGGACACACCAACCCATTCATCCTGTGATTATGCACCTGCGGCCCTTATGTCTATTGTTGTGCTACCTTGAGCTGCACCTGTTTTCAAGACCTCACTCCAATTTCACTTCATTCAAACCCACAACAGATTGAGCACCTACAAAATGCCAGACACTATGTTAGGCACCTTGAGCCACCACTAAAAAAACCCACGAGCCACTCTGAGGGAGAAAGCTGAGGCTGTCTACACTTATAAAGGTTCACAAAGCCTCACAAATCCACAGGGCAGCTCTACTCTGTCCTACAGGGGCATTTGTATCAGAATGGACTTGATGGCAGTGAGTCCGTCTGTCCATCCGCCCTGATAAAGCTGACGACAGTCTGGTCAGGGGGATGGATGTCAGAAAGTTAAAAAAGAAAAATAAGTTTCACTGTTTGTGGGGTTTTGTTTGTTTGGGTGTGTGTTTGTTTGTTTTTGCCAGCTAGGGAATGAAACTACAGAGTGAAATGAGACGTATGGGAAACCTGCATTAAATAGGGTTCAGAGACGGCTTCTTGGAGAATGACTTTGAGGCAAGGCATAAGGATAAATAGGATCCAGCCATCACGGGGAACTATGAAAGCATTCCAGGCAGTGGGAAAAGCAGCATGCATGCAGGCCCTGTGGAGGGAATGGGGCTGTGCCTGGGAGGACAGACAGGCCATGTGGCTGGAACCCAGATGCGGGGGCTGGAGGGTGGCAGGCGAGGTTGAAGAAGTAGACAGAGGCCTATCCTATAGGCCGTGGTCAGGAGTTGGGATTTACTTTGGAGAACGCTGGGAAGCTGAGTTCATAAGCTAGTGGCCCACCTTCAGACCTCTTCCTCGGTTTCTCTATGCTCTGAAGCCTTTGATCATGTCCTGCCTTCAAGTTTAGTTCTGTGCCAGGGCGCTAGAAGTAGGGCTCTCCGAAGGCAAGAACTCTGTAGACAAGGAGGGAATCACACCTGCCTCACACAGGTAGTATAGTATCCCGGGGAAACCCTGGGGATAAAAGGTGAAATTAAAATAAAAGTCAAATTCCTTTTGCCTTCGTCCCTGTGTAGAACTGGGCAGCACGTCTGCTGCTGGAGAGATCATGTGCCGTCAAGTGTCCGGACATTGCCACCCAACTGGCTGGGACTAAGAAGGTGCAGCAGGAGCTGAGCCGGACAGGTGTGCTGGAGATGCTGCTACCTGGCCAGCCTGAGGCTGTGGCCCGCCTCCGTGCCACCTTTGCTGGCCTCTACTCACTGGACATGGTGTGTGGGCAGCCCGTTTCTCCTACTGCAGGCCTCTTCGGAGGCAGCCCATGGAGGCCAATGTGCTGGGGCTGGATGTGGTCAGAGATCCTCTGTGAGGACCATTAGAGGCCTAAGGTGGGCGGGGGCATCCTCTTGACTGGATGATGGGGGTACGCATGGTAACTAAGGGAAGGGACTGGTGCAGACAGGAAGGGAAACCGCTGCACCTTACAGGTCTGCTGCTGCAGAGCCCTGAGTGGTTGCCAGAGAAAGGCCTGTTCTCACAGACCTGTTCCTCTCGCAGGGAGCGGGATGGGGGTCATATCCAGAGAGTAGCACCCAGCCTGAAAGGGCTTATGGTTGTCCCGCATCTGCTCTTGCCTCTTTGGCTTTAAGACTGCTGGTGACGGCTTGCTTGCCTCCCACCAGGGTGAAGAAGGGGACCGGGTAATCGCTGAGGCCCTTGCCGCTCCCAACCGGTTTGTGCTGAAGCCCCAGAGAGAGGGAGGAGGTGAGTATCACCCTGTGCAAGGCTGCTCAGGGAGAGGGGACCAGAGGCCGTCACCAGCGCTGACTGGCACTTGCTATGGGCACAGCCTTGCTCTGGGGAGATACAAGAGGAAGGCCCACACCTTGGTCAATGTCCCAGCAGACCCAGTAGCCTATGTTGAGGCGTACAGGGCGATTTGGCCAAGTTTAGCTTGAGCCTGTGGGGGCCTGGTGGGGAGTGGGGAAATAATCAGAGATTGCATGGAACATTTATCTGTCTTCCTGCCTAATCTAAAGCCCCTTGAGTCCAGAAGGGATTATTATTTTCATCTTGCTCTTAAGGGATGGGCAGGAATTTCCCGGGTACAAAAAACAACAACCCAGGAAGAGCATCCATACAGAAGGACCCACCACAGCTTGGAGATTAATGAGTAACTAGTGAGCGTGGATGCAATGATTGGGGCTAGGCAAGATGGTTTGGCCCTTGTTTATAAAAGGCATTAATAGAAGTGAGGAAACTGGGCTTTATTCTGAGGATAGTAGGAAGCCACCAAGGAATTTTTATGAAGGAAGGGTGCCATCCAGGGCCCATGTTTCAGTAAAGTGTGGCCTGGACTATGGGCAACATTGGTGAGAGACCACGGAGAAGGCTGGCTGTTCAGAAGAGCCGTAAAGAAAGAGACCTGAGCAAGGGCTATCACCGTGTGGAGAAAGCGGTTTGAGGTAGTGACTGACAGCGAACCCGAGAGAACAGAGATAGGAGTTAACAATGACGCTGAGATGCCTTCCACCTGATTGGAATTGGGAAGCTCCGGGAAGGACGGGGTGAAGCAGAAGTAATGAACTCTGCTTGGGCACTTGGAGTTTGTTGCGGGTCTGTGGGCATCCACATGATGTCTAGAGCAGGGAGCTTGAGATGGCGATCTGGGAGTTCATATAGCTGGAGCCTTGGGCATGGAAGAGCGCTCTCGCTGGGGAAATGTGTGTCTACGGAGAATGAGGTTCTTATGGAACCCCAACACTTAAGAGCCGGTGGTGGAAAATCACACAGCTAGGACAACCAGGGCGGAACAGTGTGGACGTGCACATGGGTGAGTAAGGGCTCTCCTGCCAAGGCTGACACTCTGTCCTTGGTCATCAGGCTGGCACTGCCCTCATTGAGCTGATGTTGGGAAGGAGGCTTCTGACAAATAGCCCACTCAGGCTTGCCCACATGACCCCCAGAAGTGAGGACATCAGTTGAGGGGGGGCACACAGAGGGTCCAGAGTAACTAGCCAGTGCATTTGCAGGTAACAACCTATACGGAGAAGAGATGGTGCAGACACTGCAGCGGCTGAAGGACAGTGAGGAGAGAGCCTCCTATATCCTCATGGAGAAGATCGAACCTGAGCCTTTTGGGAATTGCCTGCTACGGCCTGGCAGCCCTGCCCGAGTGGTCCAGTGCATCTCAGAGCTGGGCATCTTTGGGGTGTATGTCAGGTGAGCAGTCAGAGGGGCTCTTCCGATTACCTCCTAGCCAGAATGCCAAGCAAGCCAGCCTGGAAGGAGCACTGGACTGATTGAATCCTGGAGGCAGGCCCAGCTCTGCCAGTCCTTGGCTGTCATACCTGTTTCTTTTTCTATCAAATGAGACCAATGACCCGTGACCTCACAGAATTAGCAACTGAAGGCCACATGAGATACACCTGAAAGGAAATTTCAGCACACATACACACACACCACCCCCACCCTCAACCAACCCTGGCCTAGGAGCCCTGGTAGTGGATCAATCAGCAGTTTGAACCGACCAGTGCTTCCGCAGAAGAAAACACCTGGTGATCTGCTTCCATAAAGACTTCAGGCCCTTAAGGAACTCTACAGGGCAGCTCTACTGTTATAGAGGGTTGCTTTTGAGTCGGAATGGACAGCACCTAAGAACATAAAAAGCATTATGTAGGCAAGTTCAGGGGGCCAGCCCCTGCATTGAACATTAGGACTACTGATCAGATTGTGCTAAATCAAGAAGACTCAGGCTTGTGTATGCCAACAGCTCCTGGTCCCTCATGCTCCTTCCTTCAAAATAGACTCTAAGATAGAGATGCCCTCCATACACTGCCCGCTCCCAACCCCCACCACCTTGATCATTTCTACCTGTACCTTCCCACCATCCCCAACACCACCTTAGCCATCTTGAGGGAAGTAGAAAAGGAAATTCATCGCTACTGAGCACAGAATGCGAACCTAGCATCATGCCAAGTGTCCTAGCCTTACTTAATTCCCACGACCATATTGCAAAGTAAGATGTTCTATTTTCCCTATTTTAAATTGAGATTTTAAAAAATGTAACATGCTCAAAGATGCCAAGCTAGTAACATCCAAGCTAGGAATCAAACCCAAATCTGAGTCCAAACTCCTAGCATTTTCTTGAGGCTAAGTCATTCATGCTTTGCTCAGCTGGGACCTGTGACGGGTTCTGAGTGCAGGTAAGAGTTGTGTATCTCCTGCCATCCCTGCAGGCAAGGAAAGACACTTGTGATGAATAAGCACGTGGGGCACCTGCTTCGAACCAAAGCCATTGAGCATGCTGATGGTGGAGTGGCAGCAGGAGTGGCAGTCCTGGACAACCCGTACCCTGAAGGAGGAACAGTCCCTCTGCCCTTCTGAGAGGTCGCCCTCCTCTGCCTCAGAGGCCTCTCGAGTCTTCATAGAAGGGCAAATTCTGGATACCTTGCCCCATTCCACATCTGAGTAGCAGATAAGCTATGTTTCCCTTGAATGAGATCCTGAGGTCCTCAGATCCTTGGCCTGTGAGCACAGCTGACGGGAACCTACTCAGGTAAAGGTCCATGAACGCTGCCTCACTCCAGTCAGCCCTCATCAACCTTGCCAGCAGGTTCCAGCGCCGGCTCGGGATAGGACTGAAGTGGAAGGACGTAGCCTTTCTCAACTCCGCCTTAAATAAAACGATGTTGCTGTTTCTGTGGTTCCTTGGGTTGTGTGTATAGGGGACGCGCCATCATTGGAGTCAGCCCACTCACGGTGGCTTGGAGGTGACTGGCATCATGGTCTCCCTAGACTTAGCCCCTCTGACCCCGAAGTTCCAATCCTTAGTTGCTCCCTTCAAATCCAAAAGAAGAAAGAGGGTCTCTGGCAGGAGTGCAAGGGTGAGCATAGCCGTGATGGGACCCCGTCTGTCGGCTGTGAACTGGCTTCAACTGCTTTTGAGTTTTCTGCTCAACTGGAGGATTTGTCAGGAGGCCTGTGAGTGAAGGCTGCCCATCTCTGCCCAAACCAAAAGTCTCAAAAAGAGGCATGGGGATAGACCTGGGGAACCACTCTCTTTCTATCCCCTTCCCAGCCCCGCCAACACCCCAAGTCAGAGCAGCTACATGCCTCAGAGGTCACAGGTTTAGATCTCAATAAAGTCGAATATCGTGATAAAGTGAGTCACCTTTTTATGTCTGCACTACACTGTAATTATTAAATGTGCAATACCGTGATGAAAAAAGTTTGAAATACTATGAGGATGGCCAGATCGTGACACAGACAGAAAGTGAGCAATGCTATTGTAGATTTACTCACCGTGGGGTTGCCACAAACCTTTAATTTGTGATGGGGGAAAAAAAACCATATCTAGATGACGGGGGAGGAGGAGAGACTGGAGCACATCCTGGCCCACTAGGCCTTGAGGATGATGACCCCAAATAGAGCAGCCAGTCCACAGAGAGGACCACATGGCCAGCCCCACTATGAAACGTGATGCCCCTCACTGGCCCATGGCCCTGCGGGGGACAACACCAGTGACACAGTGTGGGAATTGCGCCTGATCTGACCCCGTCATGCTGAGGCATGGCACTGGGGGGGTGCAGCGGAACAGCAGGGGAGGGGAGTAGCAAGATCCCTAGGGAATGTTGAGGGTGGACATTGGAGACAGGGCATGGTGCCTGATATAGTTTATTATGCCAGCCTGGCTGATAAATACAAGTGGTTAGTGCCCCAACAGGCTAGACTGGAAAACACAAGTTTTTCTTGCTTGGTATATTTTAATTTGTTCTTCGTCAGTGGATTGATGTTGTTGCTGTTT